TTACACCTGAGGGGTCCAACCATGGGAACTTTAAGACTTGTGGACTTCAACTCCCAGAATTCCCATGGTTAGATGGACATCCTTATCCTATTCCGGACAAATGGCTGTCTAGTCTCTTCTGGAAGAGCCCCAGTGATGGAGAGCACGCACAACCTCTGGAGACAAGTCCTTCCACTGGTTCCCACTGTCAGGAAATGTGAAGGACCTGATGGATCCCTGGGGTCACCATCAGCCCCACAATGGCCATACGGCACTTCCATGCTCAGAGACAGCGTTGCTGGACCCCAAGGGTTAAGGGTGGGGCTGGAGAGGAAGGCAGATCAGAGCGGGGGGGGGGGAATGTCCAGGGGGAGCCGCTCCCACTGCAGCTGGGTCAGAACATGGGCAGGGTCCTACTGGGTTAGACCGCTGTCCCTCCTTGTCCAGCTGGCTGTTCTCTGGGTGGCCAACCACCTCCAAACTGGGGGTCTCCCGGCAGAGGGGTTTCCAGGGCAGCCCCATTGCCAGCAAGGGAGCTTCAGGGGAACCCCTACATTCTGCCGGGCAGTTGTGTCCATCCCCAAGAGACAGGAGGCAGGTTCAGGGGGCTTCCAAAATTTGGAGACCCATCCCACGAAATAGGAGCGGCGCAGTAGCTCAGCGGTTAAGGCACTGGGATCGTTGGATGCAAAGCCCAGGTTCGAGACCGGGCGCCACGCGACGGGCGAGCTCCCATCCTTGCCTCANTGGGGGCAATATGCTGACTCTGTAAACCGCTTAGAGAGGGCTGAAAGTCCTATGAAGCGGTATATAAGTCTAACTGCTATTGCTATTGGGAATTCTAATCCAGCCTTAGGCATGAAAGCTGGCTGGGTGATTGTGGGCCAGTGAGTTCTAGTCCCGCCTTAGGCATAAAAGCCAGCTAGATGATCTTAGATAAATCCAATGAGTCAATAAATATGAATATTAAAAAAATTAAAATTAAAATAAAATACGAGGAAGGAATATTAGGTAACCTTGTCTTATTTACAAAAGTAACCAAAGTGGGATTTTTTTTAAAAAAAAATCTAGTAAAATGTTTTTTTTTTAAAAAGAACCCTCCCCACACTTCTCGTATCTTCCCTAATAAAGTCCTTAGCTGTGACCTCCACTCCAACAGCTCAACCAGGCAGGGTGTTCAAAGAAGGCCAGCCTCCTCAATGGAAGGGTCTAACCCTTGGGCCCTGCTGCTTTGGCTTCAAAAACGAACCAAACTCCTTCCTTCCAGTTGCTCCCTAAAACTAAAGGGCCCAGGGAAACCATATGCTCAGCACTCCGGCTGAGGTGTTTTTGAATGATATCAAAGCAGCTTAGCAAGGGCCCAAGGGAAGATGCTGGGTTTGCAAATCGCAGGCAGAACTACAAAAAATATTGTGCAAAAAAACCACTCCAAAACTCACTTCTATACTTGTGATGAGCCAATCGTTGACGGCTTTACTCTGAGCTCCACTGGTCACCATCTGGAAGCCGTTGGCTGTCGCGGTGTGCAAGAGGACTAGGAAGGAAAAACAAATAGAAGTTTGCAATGATGCCTCAATCTTTTGACTCCCATTTGGAAGGTTTACAGACAGAGACCCAAAGACCACACGGAACAGACTCTAGGCAAAATTCTCAAAGTGATGCACTGCTCTCTTCTGAGGAATCACACTACTCTCTTGACAGAAGAGACTTCTAAAATTGGCGTGCTAGAAAAAAGTGCAACGTTTGCCCAATTCTCTTGATGCCTCCAGGGTTTAAAAGACAGGAGTTAATACAGGTAGTTCTTCACCCAAGGATGCTTTTTCAGGAGGCAACTGGACTGTCTTGTTTTTTCTTTTGAAGACGTTTCGCTTCTCATCCAAGAAGCTTCTTCAGCTCTGAAAGGACGGTGGGGACTGGAAGGATTTATAATCCTTGCAAATAGCTGGTCATTTGCATCCTTTGAGAGGGTCGTTGAGTCCACCTGGAGGTTTATATATGTCCTCAGGGTCACCTGAGTGGTGCAAATGGTTCCTGTAGTCTGCAGTTTTTTCTCTGGAAATCTATTCCTTCTCCCACTCCATTCTAAGGGTGATCGTCACAAATTGTATAGCTAAAAGTCTGCAGATATTCTTAAATCAGGGAAGCCTCCTGAAGGCTCCAGAGGTGGAAAATCGGCCCTACGAACAAACCGGAAGTCACCAATCCCAAACTTCCGGGTTCCCCCTAGGTCCATTTTTTGCCCTCCGGAGGCTTCAGGGAGGCTCCTGAAGCCTCCGGAGGGCCTGTTTTCACCCTCCCCAGGCTCCTAGAAAGCCTCTGGCGCCAGGGGAAGGCGGAAAAACCACACCAAAAGCAGTGTGTGTGTTGATCGTGTGCGCATGTAGGTCGGGGGGCATAGCATCATGGGTGTGGCATGCCTGTGCACAACCCCCCCCCCCGCGCTCCCCTGCTTTTGGTACAGGAGCCAAAAAACAATAGCCATCACTGAGCTAGAATATCTGGTTTCTGTTTTAAAGATAATTATATAAAACACAAAAGCAATTTGACAAATGTACTCGCGCCTGGTGCCTGTAACCATGCTCAAGAACCACTCATCTTTCCGATTTGCTGATTTAATGCACTATTTTTCTGTCAAAGTACATATCCTGTTCATTAACTACATAATGTACTGTGTTTTCCCGAAAACACAGGGTCTTATTTTCTTTTGACCCCCCCCCCAAAAAAATAAGCACTTGGCTTTATTTTCGAGGAGGTTTATTATTTCTGAGGTGTAGGAAGCGGTGAGCATGGTTACCTCATGGCTGCTGCTGTGTTGCAATATTTTCAGGGAGGATTATTTTAGCGCATGCACTCGAAAGCCCAATTGGGCTTAATAATCCGAAGAGGTCTTATTTTAAGGGAAACAGGGTATTTAGGTGGCTAATATACAATAGCAATAGCAGTTAGACTTATATACCGCTTCATAGGGCTTTCAGCCCTCTCTAAGCAGTTCACAGAGTCAGCA